GCCTGTATAGAATAGACCAAACCAAGTATGCTCTTAAAGGCTGTTTATTAGCCAGCGGCTGTCCTGTACAAAGGAGCAGCCCCGAAATGCCAAGATACAAGGTTTTTAAGCCCTAAATCCCATTCCTCATTCATCTTAAACACAAAGGTCCATCTTTCTCCTATTAACTACCTGTCAACCCACTGGTCAGGTGTGCAAGCGGGGAGTACAGAAGCAGAAAGCTTGTTAGAATGTTATGTTCCTATGGGCGATTGCCTATGTTCCCATGGGCAATAGCCAGTGTTCCCATGGGCGATGGCCAAACAGTAATTTTCAGCTTATATACAATTGATTATTTTTCATGCCACGCAAGCAAGCATGGTTACACAGGCTAAAATTGGTAGTTAGCATACGAGCTCATTGTTACAAGTTTCATGATTAACAGAATGTAGTTAGGGGTTCCAGAAACTAGGCCTAAGGTATAGATTTCCTTTGTCCAGTTTCAGGTTTTAATTATCCTTTAACCCTTTCACATTTCAGCAGGCTATCACACTACCACAGAGAAAATGATTATAAGATGAAAAGAAGCCTGAGCCCTGAGAACGGAGTCCCGAAGCACTCAAACAATCAGAAGTCGGGGAAATGATAGTCTGAAACCACCAGGGCACTGCCACCATATCCATTTAAGCTTGAGAACTACATATCCCAGAATCCTTTAGGCACTATGTTTCCGGGTTAGAGCTTTCAAGGAAGTCCCACGAGATTTAGAAGGCGGAAGTGAGGCGGAAGCCATTACTCTGGGGAATGCGATCACTACTCTACTTACTGGGGCCGTGGAGTACTCTGCTGCGGTTTCCTCTAAGATGTTGGGGTCCCTCTCTTTTCCTGTGGCACACTGGGCCTCAGTATGAGCTCGTCCTTTCAGTGCAGTTTTCGTGACCTCCGCTCCTACGGATTTCACCGTTAGTAGGGTAAGCTCCGCTTTCCTTATTTAACCCTTTACCCTCGGTTCCTGAGGACCCGATAGGTCGACGAGGCGGGGAAAATTGGAGGGGTGGGGGTGGGTACCTGGGACTGGGAAGCCAGACAGCCAGGGCGAGGCGTTTGTTTTAGGCTCTGTGATCAGCGATATGAAACGCTGATGAAGGGCGACCGAGATTTAGGACTACTATATTTAGCGGCAAGGGGCGGGCGCTGGTGATCTGGTCAAAAAAACTGACAGCTGGGGGTGGAGACGGAAAAGCCTGGCCCAAATGAGTTTGGCGCATTATGAGGGCTCAGGATATTGGAGACCCCGAGGATAAACTTCTTTTCTTTTTGCTTTTCTGGTCAGTTTCCTTTTTTCCCACAGTTTTGTCTACTATTAACACAGGCACACTGATTTTCTTTTTGGTAGTATTTTTCTTGACTGCCTTTTGTACTTAAACTTTTGGGTGCACTTGTCTGTTTTTATTTTAATAACTTGTAGTTGACTCTCATGTAAATAACTAGATTAAAAATTCACTTCAACATTGTTATTTAACATCAGAGTTTGTCCATTAATAGTTATTGTGATTACTAATATTTTGCATTGATTTTTACCATCCCGTTTGTTGCTTTCTGTTTAGCCTTTTCCTATAGGACCATGTGCAAAAAAAGGTAGGAAAACACACACTTAAAAAAAACAGCATTAGAGCAAATCCACAAACCAGGCCAAGAGAAGATTACGAAATCTTAGAAACCTGTGTGATCCTTAAGTGCATTCTCCTCTTCTCCCAAGATTTTCTTTATGCGTTTTACTGCTTATATGTTTTCCCCAAAATGTATTTCCTAATTTTGGTAATAATTTGTGAATAGACTCACACTCTTAAGTATTTTCAGGCGCATCTTTTTTTTTTTCCATATTGATGCAACTACATATTTTAATGATTTCTAAATATCTTGTAGATGAAGTTTGTACACCTACATTCTTTTTTCAGGTACCTTACAGCTTAAATTGTACAGTCAGTTTACCAAGTTTCGTATACTGGGGTTTTGTTTTCAGGTTGTGTTCAATAATAAGTTTGAGAATGTTGGCATTATTAGGTCATTGAATCTTTTAAACAAATTATATATATTTATTTGCATCTTCTATAATGCCTTTTAATAAAGTTTTTTGGGTACCAACAAAAGGAATTTAAGACTTTTTTTTGTTGTTAGATTTATTCCTGGGAACTTTTTGTTCTTGCTTTGAAATTACATTCTTTTCCAATAGCTTTGTATATTGAATTTGGGTTCTACAAGCTTGCTAAATTATATATCTCATAATTTTCGTGTAGTGTTTTGGATATTCTTCACCGACAATTTTATCTGTATAGAATGAATAAGTAAATATTTATAGTTTTTGCTTATTACACATTTTTAAATTATTACTTTATGCTGGGCTGGCTGGGGATTTCCAGTAGCACTGAATGGAGTTGGGATAGAAGGCAGTCCTGTTTTCTTTTTGATCTTAAGGGAAATTAATTTTAATGCTTGCTGGGAACTTTTTTTTTTTTTTTGAAGATAGTGTTTATTAGGTCAAGGAAGCTCTCTTCCTAGTTTAAGAGTTTTTTTCTTTTCTCATGAACAGCTGTGAGGTTTCTACAAGTGATTTTTTTTCCCAGTATCTACTTTTGATATCTGTTTGTTGATGTATTTCAAACATCTTAAATAATGTCTGGCCTGCGATAGGTGCCATTACTGTTTGTGCATGGAAAAAATGAGTCAATAATATGCTCTTGTTACTTGTCTGATAGTGTGGTGAATTATATCAATGGAATTTTCTAATTTTTTATGAAATTAGCATTGGTAAATACCTTTCTTGGAAAGGATGCTTATTAATTGTATCATTTTGGCTTCTATTTGCTAATGTTTGGTGATTTAGAGCTATGTTTGACTGAAATTGGCTTGTAATTTTCCTTTTCTGTTTCAGGTTTTTACCAGCTTCAAAAAATGGGTTGGGGTGTTGTTCCCTCTTTTTTCTAAACTCTGGAGTATTTTGCATAAGAGTAGAATGACTTGTTCCATAAGGGGAGCTGTACCAGGAAAAACCATTAAGGTCTGGAGTTTACTTTGTGGGAATTTTTAAAGCTGTTGTTTCAGTTCCCTTAAAGGTCATAGGGCATCCAAGTTTTCCATTTCATTATGGTAAGTAAAATATTTTTAGAAATTTATTCATACCATCTAAGGTTTAAATTTTATAGTCAAAGTTGTTAATAATGTGCTCTTATTTTAATGCTTGCTACATCTGTAATGTTACCTGTTTTTTTCACTTCTATATTTATGTGTTTCTTTTTTAAAAAAAAATCCAGCCAGGATTTGGTCAGTTTTGTTTTTCTCAAAGAACTTTTGGCTTGATCAAACCACATTATAATATGTATGTTTTCTGTTTCATTATTTTCTGTTATCATTTCTTTACTTTTACTTTTTTTTAAAATTTATTTTAATTACTTTCAAGAAAACAGTACATTGGTTAGACATATATATAGTTTGTAAAATAATCCCCCCAATTGCTTCCTCCCTCCCCTGACCCTCCACCTAAACAACGTATTAATGCTAACTGCATTCCTTATGTTGTGTTGTCCATCCCCGTGACCATTCATCAGCTATTCAGTTGTACTACTTTAATCCTTCACCCCATTCTCCCAGCACCCCAACCCTCCCTCCTCTCTGTCCATCACCAAATTGTCCACTATATTTGTGAGTCTGTTTTTGATTAGTTTGTTTTTATTCCTTAGATTCCACATATAAATAAAATCATATAGTGTTTATCTTTCTCTCTGACTTAAATACCATCTAGGTCCATCAAAGCAATATCTTTTTCCATCCCCTTCCTTTTAGTCTCTGTGTGTTTTTTAATCTGAGTCTTCTGTCTTGTGGGCAGCATACACAGCAGTTTTGTTTTCTTATCCATTTGGCTTCCCTATCTTTTGGTTGGAGCACTTAACTCTTTTCCATTTGAGGTACTTGTCAATAGGAATGTAGTTATTAACATTCTTTATTCATGTTTTTGATACATGTTTTTTCTCCTTAAAGAAGTCCCTCCAACATTTCCTATTATACTGGCTTGGTGATGATGAATTCATTTAGCTTGTTTTTGTCTCGGAAGCTCTTTATCTGTCCTTTGACTCTAAATGATATCTTTGCTGGGTAAAGTATTCTTGGTTGTAGATCCTGGGTTTTCATCAGGTTGAATATTTTGTGCCAC